ACTTCCGAAATTTTTTGGAAATTTTCCGAAAAGGCTAATTCCGATCCGATCCATCCGACTTTCACCCCTAGTCTAGAGAATACGTATTGTAGTATTGCTTAGTTAATAGGACGTACCTTATGGAATGAGTTAAAAGGTGTATTTATAGCTTAGTTGAGATTGTCGGGCCCAAACCTTGCTTGAAGGTGATTGGACCTCGGTGATAGTGGTCTTCGATATTGGACTCGTGGCCCAGTAGGTAAATAATTTGTAGGCCCATTGGGTTGGGCCAATTAGGCATATCAAACTTCATTTGTCGTAGTAGTTAAACATAATTAATTATTTATTTCCTATAAAATGTATTCATCTTTTTTTCTTATATATATTGCATTTGAATTTTGAGATATGCATATTGTAAATAGAAGACTAAACTTAGGAAGAAAATAAAACGAGAGGGAGAATTCAAATATCTTGTTTAGTGTTAACAGGTCGTGTTGGATTTGTTAAACTCAGTACTCCAAACGTGTGTGGGTTAAAAGTTAAAACTAACTAGTACTACATATAAAAAATAGCAAGATCACTTGTTGATATGTAATACTAAAAGTAGAAAATATTATAAAAATAGTAATAATTAAAAAACAAATTTATTTATATAGTGCAAGTGATGAAATAAGTTAAAAAACCAAACATCTAAGGTTTTAATTTCCGCATACAAAGAGTGAATATATCGTTGGTCCGAATCTCAGTTGCTATAATGATCTATTTCTGTTCAAACTTTGAATCCGATACAAATAATCATGTTTTTTATACCAAACTCTAAACGCATGTAACGACTCCAATGTATTGCATTTGATCTGCATATTTTGTACAATGATCATACGAAATAAGTAAAACATTGACAAAACAATACCAATATAAATGTTTAATGATATAAAATTATTTTAAGAAATTACCTTTTTGAGCAAGTTTGTAGTACAAATTTAATTAAGCTACGAATGAGCAATAACAAAACATACAACTAATATAAAATAAAAGGTCGTTATTTAATATCGTATAATTTTTTTATATATGAGTACCGGTTATTTCTATGCTACACCTGGTGAAGACTACACCAGGTGATTTTTACCGTTGATCTACACATACCAACGTGGGTGTGTATGTATTTTTGTGTATATGAATGGTAAAGATCTACCCGGTGTAGTATAGAATAGCCCTAGGAGTACATTCATATACGCTGGAAAACTTCCTTGTATACAACATTATTTGTAACGTTGGTCGTTTCGCCAGATTCCGAGTTGATCAAAATCTTTATGCCTATACGACTCTTAACTCCCGACAGTGCTACATAGAGCTGTCCGTGACTAAAAACAGGTCTGGGCAAGTACAATCCTACAAAAGAAAGAGTTTGTCCGTAACTTTTATTGATAATCATTGCAAATGAAACCATCAACGGAAACTGACGTCGCTGGAATTTAATAGGCAATGTGGATTTGGACGGTACTAAAGTCATTCTAGGAATGAACATCATATCGCCAACATATTTACCGGAGAGGATCCTACAGTTGAGAAGGTGTTTTCCCATATCAATAACCTGAAGTCTGGTTCCATTGCACAATCATCTGGCATGATCAATACTTTTGATGAGCATAACGAGAACACCTGTTTTCAGTGTCAATCTATGGAGTGGAATTCAAGAGCATGATATGGTGTGAGAAATTATGTGGAACATGTTTCTGCGTTGACATCTGATAATAACTCCTCTTTACACATAGTATCGGAGCTGAAATAGACTTTTTCCTTTCCAGTTATCATCGACAAAAAATGATCATCCACTTAACTGAAACTTTCATTAGTCGGTGCAAGAATTGTCATGCCCTCGAAATACTCAAAAGTGAACAGATTGCTCACCAGCTCTGTTAACTAATCCTAATATGTTAATTATTATATCCTAATACGCTAATGTTAATCCTAATATACTAATGTTAATATTCCGATGTTAATTGTAATACTACTACAAATCACAATCATAATAATAATTCAAATATGTTAATGTTAATACTAATGCTAATGTTAATCCTAATGTTGATCATTATCCTAGTCATAACTGTAATCGTAATCCTAATGCTAATGTTAAATATAATACTAAACAAATACTAATCATATACTAATATTAATTATAATCCAAACACTAACACTAACACTAATACTGACACTAACACTAACACTATTACTATCACTATGACTAACACTAACTAATACAAATACTAATTTTAATACTAATACTAATACTAATTTTATTACTAATATTAATACTGATATTAATATTAATTCTAATGCTAATGTTAATACTAATACTAATACTAATATTAAAACTAATATTAATACTAATAATAATACTAATAGCTAATATTAACACTAATACTAATACTAATTACTAATAATAATACTAATAGTTAATACTAATACTAATACTAATAGCCAATATTATTACTAATACGAATACTAATATTTACACTTATACTAATACTAATACCAATACCAATACCAATACCAATACTGATACTAACACTAATACTAATACTAATACTAATACTAATACTAATACTAATACTAATCTTAATACTAATATTAATACTACTATTATTATTACTATTGCTCATACCATTAATAATATTATGACTAATATTAATATTAGTTCGAATCATGATACTAATCGTAATGCTGACTTCAATCATAATCCTAATCCTAATAGCTAGTACTAATACACATACTAATAGTAATACTAACCCTATTAATGATAATATTAATAATATTCATAATCCTAATCCCAATATCAATCTTAATCCTCATATTTTTTAAATTTTGATCATAATCTTAATACTAATCTCAATACTAATATTTATACTCATACTAATACTAATATTAATACTCGGAAGACATTTAAGAAAAAAATGAATAAATTCAAAATGACAAAAATAAAAGGTTTTATTCAGAAAATTACAAAAAATAAATGTTTGAACTACCGGAAGACATTTAAGAAAAAAAAAATGAAGAAACTCAAAATGAAAAAAATAAAAGGTTTTATTCAGAAAATAAAAAAATCTAAGCAATTAGATGTTTTGGAGAAAAAAAAATACATGTACCAAAATTTCCCAAGTAAAATTGATTGAAAATATTAAAATATATAGTGAAAAATGGCTCAAACAAACCCATATATATATATATAAAAAAATACATGTACCAAAATTTCCCAAGTAAAATTGATTGAAAATATTAAAATATATAGTGAAAAATATATATATATATATATATATATATATATATATATATATATATATGCTCTAGTAGGGGTATTTTCGTCATATTTTGGAAAAATGTAACAGTAGGGGGATTTTTGTATTTATGTGTAGTATATATGATACAAAGTTCATAATGCATGGGTGTTTTTGTATTTAACCCTATAATTTTATGATATATTGTAATTCTATAATAAATTTATGTTAGATTTTATATGAACAATATAAATACTGAAGTGTCAAGTAAATTCAAACTTTAGAAAAGATTAATTGGTATCACAAACTCTCTTGAGTTTTTATCTTTTATCAGAAATTCTGTTGTATTTTGTTGTTCATACATGTGGTTTTATTCATTGCATTTTGTTGAATTCTCTTTCGGATTTTATGCATTTTGCTGGATAAATTTCCGAAAAGAGGAGAGAACAAAAATTGTGAAAATTCCCAATATATTCGAATTTGAATTAAGAGATAATAAATTAATGCAATTATCAAAATTCCACGATTGCGAGTCGTTTCAAAATTATAATGGATTTTTGAATTCAATTTTGTGGAATGGAGATCTGAACCCATTTTTAACTTGCAAAAGAAATTAACTTTTTCTTTTTTTAATTTCCAATCCATTATGTTCGAATCCACCCCTTTTTTTTTAATTTTAATTTCTTTTGCCACTATATTATATATTTTGCATGGTAAAAAATGAAAAGATAGATACCACACTTGGTTATTTAAATTGAGTGCATCTGAATCATAGATTTATACATAAACAGACATATACTCATTTGTATTTGTTTTTAGTGAATAGTTATTTAATCAAATCTACTCAATATAAATTAACAGATGTATCATCTCACCTCCGGTAAAAAAAAAATTAACCCCACTGTGAATGAGAACGTATGCATTTTCATGTTTTGGAAAGAAAAAAAAGAAAAAAGGAAAAGAAAAGGAAGGTGAAAATAGATGAAAGGCGGCAGAGAATAAGACCACACAAAAATTCGAATCACAATCTGAGAAGAAGACACGTAAGCTTGTCGCATACCATACAAAGCAAATTACACTTTAAAATGACGTGTAAATCAGTTTCCCCATTCGTTTTCTTCTCCACTCATTCCCACACATAAAATAATATTATTAATTAAAGGGTAAATTGCACACACCTCCCCCTGAGGTGTGGTCAAATTACGAAACCCCCCTCTTGTTTGTATAATTACAACCACCTCCTCAACTCCTCAAATTTAGTGAAATTTTCAAGATTATATGAAATATTATCACTTTTGTACCCGTTTTTCATTCCCACACATAAACTAATATTATTAATTAAAGGGTAAATTGCAACCACCACACCCCTGAGGTGTGGTCAAATTACGAAAACCCCCCCTTGTTTGGATAATTACAACCACCTCCTCAACTCCTCAAATTTAGTGAAATTTTCAAGATTATATGAAATATTATCACTTTTGTACCCGTTTTATCTCCCATTTGAACTCTACATTTTGAAGCAAGATGATCATAAGATGTGTTTTTTGGCTTGTATATATCAGATTGTGGTGCATCAGAAACTGTATTATTACACAAAACGAGTACAAACTAGAGCACATTTCTATGAAATCTAGATGATTATGTTGAATTTGACACCATAAGGGTGGATGTGTGATAAAAAAACATAGTTGAGGGGGGTAGATGTAATTATCCAAACAAGAGGGGTGTTGTTTGTAAATTGACCATACCTCAGGGGGGTGTTTGTAATTTAGCCTTAATTAAATATCAATAATAAATAAAAGCTTTTTTTCTTTAACTCTCTCATAGCTACTAGCTGCTAGACTCATACGTAGATTCGTAATCTTCCACATACAAAATCACATTTATAATAACAGCCCTAACCTCCTCACCACCACACACACTAAAACACACACACACACAGTACATCTGAGAATCGGATCGGCGCTGCAGAGATTGAATCTGATTAACCATGCAGAAAAGCTCGGAATCATCTTCATTGATAATGATCGGTACTACCATTCCGATCCAGACAGAAACCGAACAATCCGATCCAACAACAAATCTTCCAGAATCGCCGAGCAAGAAGCGCGTGGAGGAGGAGGATGAAAAGCGTGCGAGCGTGGGAATCACCACGACGGCGGTGGAAGATGCGGCCGGGCGGGAGAGGCTGAAGAGGCACCGGGTGGAGGTGGCGGGTCGGGTATGGATACCGGATATGTGGGGGCAGGAGAATTTCCTCAAAGACTGGATCGACTGTACGGCGTTCGATGCTTCGCTGGTGAACAGCAGCATCACTTCCGCCAGAGATTCTTTGGTGGAGGAAGCTAGGAGAGCTAATTCCGCCCGATTGAGAATAATACAACAAAATTAATTAATATATCCGGTTTTTTTCTTTTTCTTTTTTTTTTCTTTTAATCCAATTTTATTTGCCTTTTCTTATACCTCCGATCCATTTCGTATAATTAAAAGAACAAATAATAATAATAATATATATGTATGTAATGTATGCATTATTATTAATTATATTTCCCCATGATCTCATGTACGTTCATACTATTAATAATTATATATGATTTAAATTCAATTTCCACATCTAATTTTAGAGGCTAACTATATGCAGATCTACGATTTAGACTACACATGATGAAGTATTTCAACAGGCGTAGGTTCTACAAAATCCAGTTTAGGTTTCCACTATATTAATTCGAGGTGGTTATTTCTTTTTGTTAATCATTTTGAGTCGATGTCTCTTGGAGTAATATATATATATATATATATATATATATATATATATATATATATATATGGTTTGTTCTATTACACAGGCTCAATTTCACCGATCGTTCTATCATATCATATACGCGTACATATAGACTCATCATTACATATATGTATGCATATTTCACCAAAATACACGCTGCATCTCGAAGATCTGGAGGGTCGGTTTTGAGGGTAGGGGGAGGTATGTCGACTAGGAGCCCTAAACTTTTGTGATAGAAAATACTTTATTTTATTTTATTTATTTTTTTGTTAAAAAATTATTATTTTATGAACTAAGAACACTCAAAGAAATTTTATTGTATGTGAAGTCTTATTTTCAATATTCAACGTAACTAATAGTCAATAAAGATTAAATGAATTAGTTATGCTCTATATTGAAAAAGATTTATATAAAACACTTGATTTCACAAATTTTATTAGTAAAAAAAATAAAAAATAACTACAATAAAAATTTTCAATGATATATATTTCGTTTGACATATTTTATGAAGTGTGATTTTTTTTTATGCTTATTTTTATGTGTTGTGTAAATTAGTGATATACGATGAATTAGTTTTATGAAAATGTGTTAGTTCAAATAACTTAGAGGGTGTTTGGCTAAGCTTATTTTAAAAAGTTGATAAACTCTTACGTCTGATAAGATGTTTTAAGAGCTGATAAGTTGTTACATCTTATTTTTATGATTAATTTTTAGAGTGTTTGGATAATGAGCTTATTTCCTATTTTTACTCATTATAAGATCTTAAATAAAAAGGTGGGGTAGAGGTACTTATTTAAAAATATCTTATTTGCTCTCCAACAACTTATTTAACAAAAAATTAAGATTTTTTTTTTTAAATTTACCAAATACTTTGGAAGATCTTATAAGCTCTAAAACATCTTATAAGTTCCTTTAACATCTTATAAGCTTAGCCAAACAACCTCTTAATAATTAGAAGGACATTCATTTAAAAAAATATATATTTAAATAGTTGAATTTGTAAATGTCACGTGTGACATCGATCAGGACAAATTGGTGATTAAATCCATAAACAACATTTTGGTGCGTCTTTCTGAGGATGCATGTTTGCAAACCCAAGACTAGGGTATCTATAAACAAGTCAAACTCGGTATATTTTTCGAGCTCAAGTTCAATTTGACGAACTCGACCTTGATCTTATTGCGCTTTTGTTTTTGAGTCTAATTTGAGGAGCTCTAGTTCGTAGAGCTTTCATTTTCAAGCATGAGTTTAGTTTGTGGAGTTCGAGCTGATCAACTCATTCTATTATATATATATATATATATATATATATATATATATATCTAACTAATATCAAGCGGCCATTCATGTCGTGAATAGAGGCCGTTAAGGATGGAGTTGCTTCGACTTTCATTTTCTTTGTTGAGATTGGGTTGGTGTTCCGTTTACCAACATAGAAGATCATATATTTATTATTTTTTATTATTATAAACTGTTTATATTATATGATAAAAATGATATAAACTAAAAAATTAGCTGATTTTTTTTCATTTTATATTATTATTATTATTATTATTATCATCATCATCATCATCATTTATAATAAATATAAATAGAAAAGCTCGCGAACTAGCTCCTGGGCTCATGAACAACTGACTAACTTTGGAAATCTCATGTCGAAAAACTTGAGCTTTTGCTGAACCCACTCGTTCAGCTCACGAGCCCGGCCCGCTCGACTCATTTACAGGGTGGCCCCATTACCCATATATCAAAACTTTGGCGAAGAAAAGTATTCTGATTGTTATTTATTTTATTTTTTAAAAATCCGGGTCCATAAAAAATCTGTAAATGGGCCTACAAAGAATTAGTTGAAGCCCAACTTTGTAAATTCACGGTTTCAGTTCTTGTACCGGCGGCGATCGATCACAGAGAATCCACTCCCTCTCTCTCTCTCTCTCTCTCTCTCGTTCTCTCTCTCTCTCTCTCTCTCTCTCTCTCTGCGTGTTTAGATTTTAGAATCAGATTCTATTTGTTTTCCTCTCTGTATTATTATATATTTGATAAAACCGAAGACCTATATATTTTTGTATAGATCCCTTCTCCCTCTTACCTTATTACCGATCTTATATATAACCCCATCTGATCTTTAACGAGAATTGTATATTTTCAGTTGCCATCGTTTGTTCCGTTAATTGTCTCGCCAATGCGTTGATTAGTGGCTAAGTCTCCAATTGTTATATTTTTCTCTCTCCAAGAAAAAAGAAGAGATGCAGACAACAAACTCTCCCCCCCGCAGATACATTTCAAGAAGACAACGGAACAGTTGGGCAAGAAAATCATAAGATTCTTGTCCGATCATGCTCGTGCAGTAGGCTGTTATAAGGTGATTCTATGAGAGATGTGGTTTCAAGCAAAAGGAAGTACTTCGTTTGAAATTGAAAACTTAAAGATCGAGGAAGAAGAGGCAGAAAACAAAAACAGAGAAAACAGGTTCCCCCATCATTTTTTATTAAAGAGGAAAATGAAATACACACACAAGACCGTGTGTACATTCATCACTTGTCACAAAACCACAAAGTACTCAACCCATTTATTCGAAAAACATATTTACATAGCTCCTCGGACGGACATCGGTACTCTTTGATAGTCTCTCTAGACAAAGAGAACATGGAACTGGCATTGCTGGGGGCTGCGGAAGTTGCACTGTTGGGGAAGATAGCGTGCCTTCTGGTAAACCTGTTCCGACTGCCCGGTTTGGTATTGGCCGCCCTGTTGTTGGATCTCCTTCACTGCTTGCTTGATTGCTTCGCACCTGCATTGCTGGTTCACATTCTCTAGTTGCTGGCAGCAATCTCTCAGGTACTTTGACTGCTGCTGCGGGTTGCCGGTTGTCGTCATTTCAATAGCCTCCTCTTCTTCGAATTGGCCCCTTTGGGAGAGGTACCTTTGGCATGACTGGAACCGGCGGCCCTGGATCTGCTGGCGGCACTGTTGCTGCTGCCCACGGTTGGCTTCATCGTCGATTGTGGTGGTGGTGACGGTGGTGGTGTAGCTGGTGGCGCTGGCTAGGGTCACCATAGCCACCAGGAGAGCTGCTGTGAGAACCACCTTAATCGCCATTGAGAGAGATTCTTGAAATGGGATATATATTATTTAGTAAAGATGAAATTGTTTTGGTGTGAGAATTGTGAAGGGGTGGAGGGGTATTTATAGTGGATTTGTGGGAATGCATGGGGTTTACGTGTTGATTCATTGGAGTAACCGTGGATGCTTTCTGCTGGAGGTGTAAAGATCTGCGGTTTCGAGCTTCCACATCGATTTTGCATGCATATGCTGCCAAATATTCAGATTAAAAAATATATAGTTTTGGGAGTCCGTGAGAATTTCACAAGTTGGTGTAGGATTTGGACATTTCTTCATCTAATAATTTACTTTTATTGAATTTTAGGTAAACTCCAATTTCATGATTTAAATTTCAATTTAGCTCAATTTTATCAATTTTGATCTTTATTTCAATTTTGACTGTCACTGTCGATCAGTCGTTGTTGACCTCCGATCTCAGGCTTATTTTTATTAGTATTTTTTTAGTTTTTTTTTTTTGAATTTCTTTTTCCTAGTAGGTCAGCCTTCGGCGTTGTTTTTTTTTTTTTTTTATTTTTTTTTCAGCAGATCAGCCTCCGTTTACAGTAAAAAAAAAAAAAAGTTTTCGAAACATATACTGTCTGAGACAGTTACAAAAAAAATATGTAAAAGCACAAGTGTTATTCACCCTTTATATTATCTACTATTTTACAATTAAAAAGATTCTCGAGATTTTCTTATGACATAAGTTATTTTCTTCATTTTACAATTTTTTTAATTTTTTTTAATTGATCATATTTTACCCGAAATTGTTTCCGATTTATTTTTCTTTCATGTTTATGTTTGAAGTAGCTTTTTACGAGGATTTGTTAATGATATTAGGTTTGCTGAAAGATATGCCCTAGAGAAGGTTCTTGGACAATTATCAACAATATGGAGAAAATAAAGTTTAATATCTACCTTGTTCTTTTGCCTTTGCATCATCTACAAAATGTATTGGGACAAAAAGTGCGATATTGCCTCCACGTGACGTGTAATATATGTACGATACCGTCTCCAGAAACGATAAAATGTACCGACTCTCGACAAATTTCTTAATCGGACTTTACTACCTCTTCAAATCTCCGTTCCCATACTTGGTTATCGTAATTCTGTTCATGCAAGTCCCTCTCAGTACTATAAACGATTCTGTCTTCGCTAATGAATGTCCTCTGGGCCATGTCCCGGGCACTTGAAATCTGAAAACAATATATATAATTCCGTTTATTTTTTCTGTTTGTCATTAACATTTAAAATCATTGACATTAAAAATTCAAGAATCGAATTTTGATCGAACAAGTGCGTTTACCTTCCACCTCAGAGGAAGATCCGGTGATTCGAGTGCCTTGGCGCAATGTTCCCTGGCTTGATTCCTTTTACTGATTTTACCATTTGTGATTAGAACGAAGAGCCATCGAGCTAATGGAATTGCAAAGAAAGAGCCAGCATAGATCTGCAAGGTTGTACATTATTAGACAAGTTCAGCAGCAAAAAGTCAGCAAGTACACATTCAGAGAGAGAGCATGCTAATATATTGCCGGTCGGAACAAGAACAAACCATTGAGTAAAATCAGCTCCACATAATATATGGTTTAGTTTCTGTTCATATAGTCGGTTTGAAAGTAGATAAACATTAGCATACCTGAAGCAGCGGAAATATAGCCGACACGAATGATATGAACCTAATCTCAACCACTGTCGTATCCCTGTAATTTCAAATTCAATCAAAGAAGTCAGAGAAAAAGGGGAAATATATTATATCGAAAAAGAAAAAAAAAAAACTATGTAAGCAGACTCGTACTTCAACATGGCACCAAGTAATATAACCCCAGCAAGATTAAGGCCACCAAAACCAATCACCATTGCCTTCCTGAAAGCAGTGGTTTTGCTGCAGAAAACAATCTCTCAATTAATACCAGATGCTTGATAGATACTAACCAAAAGTAAAACATTAACGAATAAGAGTACCTAAATTGCCAATCTGTTTCCTTAAGAAACTTTTTGACTTCTCCAGGCTGATGACATCTTCTTTCAACGTCCTCCTTTGGCCCACTCCTCTGAGGAGCAGCAGTTCGTTGTAATGATGGAAAAATGTATAAAATATTCCCCTGCATGCACACATAAAATCAACTATGAAGAGATATTTTGTATCCGTTTTAAAGAGTTACGTATAAGCATAACCCATTCCCAGGTTCAATTGATGCACTAGTATTAGTCTATCAGATAATATCATATTTGTCCAAAAAGTGGTTTATGACTTGTCAACTTTTAAGTAAATGAAACCAGCATAAGGTAACGAAATGGGAAAGAGAAATGAGAAATCTGGGAGGAAACTAACACACGAGATTGGGCCAAGTTTCCAGAAATTCCAGTACGAACTTATAATTAATAAGCTTCATTTAATACTCTAAATGTACACAAAAACCCAACGATGTCCTCTATTTATGAATAAGAAAAGTCGAGAAAATTTAATGCTAGTCATAGAAGATCAACAGATCAGATTGATAGTGCTAGCCAAGTCGATAAATCATTAGAAAAAATGGGCATCATGCAACTGTATTAAAGATGCCAAATCCATTTAGCAATCTAAGACGACATCTTACGTCTACCATCCTATGTAACTTCACTATTCAATGCTCCAAATATGAAACTAAAAATGATTCCATATTTGATTTGTGTGGATTGTGCAAAAAGAGAGATGTTAAGTAGTTTTGACAGGCAAAGATTCCGCCTTCTTCAACCATAGTTTTAGAGGGTTTAAGGAAAATGAAATTAGCAGAGTGTAACTAACCTCTTCATCAACTTCTGGTTGGCCATCAAATCGAAGCAGCACTGGTAGTATGTAGGACTCATCTTCCTGGAGTAAATGAAAATAATGTAATAAATAACTCAATAGGAATACTAATAAAGACTTAGGGGTCCCAACAAGCAAAAACACAAGCGCATGACATGCACACACGTTAACACAGCCATACATGTATTTATAAAAGTGTTATAACAAGTAAAGACAGACAAAAGTTAGAAAAGTACATGGACAATAATTCTTCTAGTAACTAAGCCTAAATTCAATGTATAAGTGAATTTTGACAGTACCATAATTTTAGTAGTTTCAAGATCAAGATAAGGAGCAAGTTCTTCTGCTGCAACAACTCCACCATTTGAAGCTATGTACTGTCCAATCTGCATAAATATAAGAGAAAAATAAAATATTTGAAAAATAAAGTTGTTTACAAGCAGATGGATAGTAGCCACTCAAGCTAGCTTCATATATGTGATTGAAGAGGATAATTTAAAGGAAACACTATTTAAACGAACAATGCAGAAAAGGTTCATTAAGTACAACCCCAATCAGATTGCAACTGTATAGAGTGCTTATAAAATCAACATGAACTGAAATCAGTATTCGTTCATTACCAACTTCCACCTCGTTTCTTCAATACCTTGATTGGGATCACCATCCCCAAATACAAAGGAAAAAACCTGAAAACGAAAGAAATGCCGTGATGTATTTTTTTGCAAATAAGAAAAAGCCTCAGCAAATCGAGAGTTTTGTCCTTACAGATTTAAAGAATTCTATCCCGCCGTCACCGTATCTTACATTCTCCTTTTCAGAAGATGTATCCTCGTACCTGCATAAAGGAATTAATATGTAAACTACCTTCTCATTGTGTAAGAAAAGATTTAGAAATTAAATATGAATTTGTCATCATACGAGCAAATATCTTATTTGTAGTGTCGAGCAATCAATGGTACCACCTAGCACAAACTCCAACTATTAAAACATAGTTTCTTAGAACTGGACATGAATTCTTCCAATTAGACACTCGTTTTACTCTATACATTGCATAAACTGAAAGTTAGAGATATGGATATTACCTTCGACTGCTTCTGCTACTTTTTCTTGACTTAGACTTACTGATGAAAACCATCAAGAACAAAATAAAATTAAGAAACGAGCCATCAATATTATATAGTAAGCAGTTATCGGAAAAACTCAGTGGACGACGTGCATAGGTTAAGACTTGTACCTACTACCCGATGCCATTATAACAATAATGGCGGTAAACACAATAACAATGGAGGCAACCAGAACCGCACCGAAAGTAACCTTCACTAAATTCTTAGCCGCCATCTGTCAAGCAATTTAATTAAATTACAGTGAACAAGTTTCAGTTCACAAACAAAATGCCTATACCTTCCCCTTCTCCAACAGAGGTTCAGTTCTCATCCAAAATGACTTCGCAGCGAGCTTCGATCGATAATCCATGGGGAAAACATACAACACGTCACCTTCATCCGACACCTGTTAGAGAAGGCAGATCATCACAACTAAAATCAGCAATTTCCACATTATAAAGCACACCATTTGTAAGCATCACTTTTAAGCATGAAAAATAAAATGACCTCTAAGAAGCCATTGGCGTCGGCGGCGAGAGCCTGGAGGGATTTTTGAGCTTCATGCAACATGAGCCCCGCTTTGCTCGCCACGTCACCGATGGTGACTCTCCTCCCACCGGAATCAATGGCGTCCATCGCTCGCTTCCGCACGTCGGACGGCAGCCTGTCGCTCTCGACAATGCCGCCTGGCCTGATTGTTGAGACTGTCTCGACATCAACACAAGTGCTGCTGCTGCTGCTGCTGCTGCTAGTGGTGGAAGCCCTAATTACGGGGACGGAGGCTTTGCGGCACCGGAATTTAGTGGGTGGTGGGAGAACGACAGACGGCGGAGGAGTCAGATATTCAAATCGGAGGGTTTTGAAGGGTTTGGGAAAGATGGTTAGAGAGTGGGGTTTTGTAGCAGCAGTGAGGAAGTAAGTGGACATCGTCGCCATTTGTCGCTTAGCTTTCCAGATTTTTTTTAGTAAAAATAAACATTTATTTTCATTTTATTGTTTCTCAGTTTTACTCATTATTCTTTTTTCTTTTTCTTTTTCTTTTTCTTCGAGATAATTACTCCATTTCAGTAAGTTCAAAAGAACTGAACAGTTGTGTCTATGGGTGTAAATTGGACCGATCGGATAGGGTTAGCCCTTTTGGAAATATTCTGATTTTTTCCGGAAGTGAAAAACTAGTTCAAATTATGTTTTAAAAAAATCGGAATTTCGGAAATTGGAATGAAAAAACTTATTCCGGAATTGGAAATTTTCGGATGGAATCGGCCGAATTCGGAAATTTCCCAATTTTTTGTCACCAAAAATAAAAATTACATAATAATATTGGTATTTTAAGAGTAGTATTCATGTAAAAATACGGAATTTTCGGAACTTAAGTCAGATCGGAAATCGGAATCTCATGCATATTCCAAATTCCATTCAAATAATTACTGACGTCGGTATTTTAGAATTCGGGTTTAAAACTATTGTTCAAAAATCGAAAATTTTTGGATCGGAATCGGCGAAAATTGAAATTTCGTTACAAATTTCACCCTTGGTTGTGCGCCTTATTTGGATTTCGTTTTGGGATAACATATTTTTAAAAACTAAGTGAAGAGCGAAAGTAATATTTGTTTATCAAATGAGGAAGAAAAAAAATGTAGAAGCCAAATCATATATAAAGCTGCTGTTAGAAAATAAATAGAAATTTTTGAAATTAGTTTGGCATAATTTTTGAAAAGCTTACTAACATGAATTTATTTTGGGAAACCAATGAGAAGAAAACCATCAAGTGGTAACCAAATATTGACTTCAAGATTTGGTTTGGATTTACTTTAATTATTTGTCTCCATTTTGAATGAAAAAATAATTTATGATAATAAATTCATTGATTTAATATTTTATGTCTCCTCCTAGTAAATTTCAATTAACCTACTTGTATTATGGTTTAGGTTGTGTTGGTAAAAGCTTTTCAAAATGTAGAAGTTGGTATTAAAATTTAGATCGTGTTTGCAAAGTTTATTTAAAAACATAAATTACAGATAGTAAATTTAAGTTAATTTTAAGTGTTTATTTCTAGAAGTTGAGGATATTTGCAAATTTGTTGGAAAAGCAACTTAAGTAAAAAAATTATTGGTATTTTACAAATTATTACTTATTTTTAAGAGAAGCAAAAATAAAATTTCATTTTGTAAACACTTAAACATAAATTACGAGCAAAAAAAAAAGATCATAAACTGTTTGTAAAAGCTTTTGAAAACAACACCTTAAATTAGTATCTTAGTGATAAATGCTTATAAGTTTGAAATGTTCGCAAATTCCATGAAAATCATCTTTAAACAGTTTATTTTAAGAGAAATTACTCTAGGAAGTGCTTTTCTCATTTCAACCTAAAGCAGAACAATTCAAAAGTGATTATGGGCCAAAACAAAAAAGCTCAGAATCACTTCCGGAAATATGTTTCAATAATAACATATGATAATAGTTTCTCTTTTTTATCATGCAAAGCCTACCTTGTTTACTTGCCTTTGAATAATTTAATATGATCATGTACAAACTGTATCAAGGGACAAAGTCCCAACTTGCCTGAATGTAGTACATATATCTCCTGTGAAACACAATGTACTGACCTTGTACACAGTTTTTTTCACTCAGATTTTTCGATCTCTTTGAGTCTCCGATCCCATTCTTGAGTATCATAGTCCTGCTCGTACAAATCTTTCTCAGTACTATAAACGATTCTATCCTTGCCAATGAATGTCCTCTGTGCCATGTCTCGAGCACTTAAAATCTGATAAACATTATTTATAAAATAGGGTTATATTCGTGTTCGATCAGTAAAAAAAAAATGCATCGACCATCAAAATTGAAAAAAATAAAAGATAATCGTTTATGAATTAGGATGAAACTACTGCATTTACCTTCCGCCTCAGAGAAAGATCGGGTGATTTGAGTGCCATGGCCCGCTGTTCTCTGGCTTGATTTCTTTTAATAATTTTATGATTTGTGTTTTGAACGACAAACCATCGGATTAATGGAATAGCAAAGAAAGAGCCAGCATAGATCTGCAAGGTTGTAAGCTATTAGAGAAGTAGAACATCTTTTAACTAATTCAGCAGCAAAAGAGAGCAAGAAGATTGAGCATGCAAATATATTGCCAGTCGGAAAAAAGAATCTGTAGTAAATTAATGTTAGCATACCTGAAGCAGCGGAAATATTTCCGACACGAATGATATGAACCCAGTCTGGCTAAATGTCATATTCCTTTTAAAATTCAAATAAAGAAGTCAGAGAAAAAAAAGTGGGAACAGCTTCAAATATCTAAACGAAATACAATGCAAGTAAGAATCGTACTTTAACATGGTACCGAGAAATATAACCCCAAATAGATTAAGGCCACCAAGACCAATCACCAAAGCCCTCTCTGAAGCACTAGTTTTGCTGCAGAAAGCAATCTCTCGATTAATTCCAGATCCATGATATTAACCGAATTAAAACAATAAAGGAAAAAAGAATGAATACCTAAATTGCCATTTCTTTTCATTAAAAAACTTTTCAACATCTCCAACAAAATCAGCCCATCTTCTTCCAACGTATTCCTTCCGCCCGCTCCTCTGTGGAGCAGCAGTTCGTTGTAGTGATGGAAAACGGTATAAAATATTACCCTGCATGTACAGACAATTGAATATAAAGAGAGATTCATTTCACACGGTTTAAATAATTACATATAAGTAACATAAACCCCACACAGATTAAATTGATGCAGTAGTATCAGATAGTGTATGACTTGCCACCATATAAGTAAATGACAACTAGCAGAAGCTACGGAAAAATGGAAATAGCAAGGGGAAAATATGGGAGGTAACTTAATACATGAGACAGTGCTAAATTTCACGACAAAAGTTACTCTGGATATAAAAAATAAACCAATCCGTTATTTATGAATTAAGAAAATGCATGAAATTTTGAGGATATCCAAACTGATGAAGGGACCAGTTTGATACTTCTAGACAAGTCGATGCATCATTAGAGAAAATGGACATTATGCAACTGTTCCAAAAAGATGCCAAAATCGATATGGGTATCTAAAATGACATCTTATATTAACCATCTTATGCAGCTCCACTAGTATTCCAAATTGGAAATTAAACGTGATTCTATACCAAATAAATTATGCATATTCCACTGGTTTAAATTATCCGAAACTAGCTTATACGGGCAATTATTCCACACCTTCTACAACAACATATTAACATATTTAATAAGGTAAGGAAGCGACGTGTAATTAGCAGAGTATAACTAACCTCTTCATCTACTTCTGGCTGACCATCAAATCGCAGTAGCACTGGTAGTATGTAAGAGTCATCGTCCTGGAATAAACGAAAATAATATAGTCAATCGCAAGAAAGATGGAGATCTCAACTGGCATTGACCAACTTCGATCCATGTTTCTAAACCAGCCACTAAAAACTGGAAAATCAGAAAGTTTGGTGTGTTTCTAAGATGAAAGAGCCAAAAAAAAGGCCAAAGCTTTTATTTTCAATGTATAAATAACTAAATAAGTGAAGTTTAACATTACCGTTTTTTCACCAGTTTCCAGATCAAGATATGGAGCAAGTTCTTCAGCTGTAACAACACCACCATTTGAAGCTATGTATTGTCCAATCTGCAGAAATATTTTAGAAAAATAAATTTGTTGCAAGAAACTACTTGTTTACAACTAAAAGCATAGTAATCAATCAAGATTGAAGAGGATATTCCAAAAGATTTCAGGTTAAACTAACAAACAATGCTAAAAGGTTCAACATCAAGAACAAGGAGCCGTCGGATTTCATATCCTAGAACCAAACCTCATTTCATAGCAAAATACCAGTAACAATAGTATTGTAGAATATTTTAAATAAAAATGGTCTTCCTAAGAATTGGCAAGAGGGTCTCGGATTCGTTAAGATTCTTATATATGTTACTTCCAATTCACTGTCTTACACGCTGGTCACAAATGATAATGAACGTTGTGCTCAATGATGAACTTCGGTAACCCCCACTTATAATCTCATAAATTTACAAGAGTCATGAGAGGTACCAGAGTAATTGAATAATAAGAAGGAACATAATACCCAGTCACTCACGGAAACTGAGCTAAACAAAGGCCTAGATCATGAACTCTAGAGAGAGTCGTAGACTCGTAGTTTCAAATTTGGAAACACCCTACCACCCACTCCACATACAAAACAGCACCATACAAGATCTTATGTAAGAAAAGTAAGGTTGCTTGACAAAATTTTCAGTGAAGTATGCCTTCAACTTCCCTTATACTGCAACGAGAAAACCATGCACTTACCGAACAATTACAGATTTTTTTGCAGGATCTAACAGGTTCCAGTATGGAGCACAATGCACAGGCACAAATGAAAAATCTCAAATAAATGTCACAACATTAGCCTTCTTTGAAAGATGACTTCAACTAAAAAAGAAAAAGGAAAGGGCAATACTGAAACTAGAAAAATATTTATTTTATTTGTACTTGGATATACAGAAAACAATTCAAATTTGCACAGTAGAATTTCGACAACATTATAAGAAACTTGTTTCCTGCCGGTGGAGTCTGTTCTAATGCACCAAAGGAGACTTAAATTTTGAAATATGTAATTGCTGTCAGTAGGGCAGCAGTTAAGAAGAAATTGAGGAGAAAAGATTTTTCCAACAGAAATTTAAGAGATTACAGTTCACACAAAGTTATTTATTTCTATCCTGACTCATTTTACAGATCCTTCTTACTTAGGTGCACGGGTCCTCAAAAGAGTAGTCTTCCTCTATCAACTTGTTTCTACCAAAAGTTAAAAGAACAAAACATATATTGGAAGAAAGATATTTTGCATTACTTAGTATGTTTCACCAAGCTGTTTTTTGTTCAAGAGGGATCTGAACCTTTAATGTACTTAAAACATCAATGTCCGATGCAACGTGAGATAGAAGAAAAAATGTCGAAAATTATATCCATTTTTGGTGATGCGTAATTTACAAAGTTTTGGGAAAATGGACATTAATAAAAGATATGTAATGTTTATAAAATCAAAATGATGCAATAAAAACATTAAAGTAACGGACCACTGAAATCAGTGCTCATTTATTACCAACTTCCACCTCTCTTCTTCAATCCCTTGATTGGGATCACCATCTCCGAAAACAACGGAAAAAACCTGAAAAGAAATAAATTACCGATAATATATCTTAGAAAGTAGGAAGCACCAATAACTAAACAATCTGCAGATTGAGAGTTTTTTTTCTCACAGATTCAATGAAGTTCATCCCACCCCCACCATCACCTTCTCTTACTCTTCGTCTCCTGTAGTAATATGGATCCCAGTACCTGAGCAAAGGAGTAAATTTGTGCATTAGAAACAGTTCTCCCCAAATTTCTCTAGACCAGACAAAAACTGACAAAACTATGATAGCTTTGTTCTTCTACAACCAAGTAAAAAAGTTTAAAGCATTACTGAAAAATCTGTAATAAGCTGAAGAACAAGATATGGAATATATAATAATAATTAAACACCCCATGACTGGTCGAAAATTGAGGTAACAACCCCTATATGCTTCTTATGCGGTGACTACATCGATGTCAAAAATTAAGTACGTTTTCTGTGTGTAACTATAAATGAGAAATTAAATGTCAAATTTTCACAACATGAAGAAAGCTTGTTTCCAGTGACAAGCAATCAATAATACCACCTAGCAGAAGTTCACAGTGTCTTAGAAATTGATAAGAATGCTTGCATTTCGACACTCTTTTACTCTACATATTGGATAAATCAAAAGTTAGAGATATTACCAGAACAAATCAGCTGGATTCAAATAAAAATTGAAACCACTTCCATAAGATCTTCCTCTTCTGCCACGATCGTCCGACTCACTAATATAAACCATCATCAAGAACAAAAATTATAATGAAGACACATGCCCATAAATATTACATAATAAGAAGCTATCTCCAAAACTCAGTAGGCGTGCAAAGGCTAGGAAATCGTACCGGCTACTCGATGCTATAGCAATAATCGTGGTATACACAATAACAATGGATGCAATCAGTGCCGTCCCAAAGGAAACCCTCACTACATACTCAGCCGCCATCTGTCACCCAAAATTCCGTTCGAATCAAAATATAACTATAATGAACCAGCATTAGTCCACAAACAATATGCCTCTATACCTTTCCCTTCTCCAACAAAGGTTCAGCTTTAATCCAAAACGACTTGCCAGCGAGCTTCGATCTATAATCCTTAGGAAAAACATATAGCACGTCGCCTTCATCCGAAACCTATTAAAGGAAAAGATGATTTTACAAGTTACAACCATTACCAATTCAATGAATCTTCCACTTTACGAATGAAAAATAACCTCTAAGAATCCATTGGTGTCGGCGGCGAGAGCCTGGAGAGCTTTCTGAGCTTCATTCAACTTGAGGCCGGCTTTGCTCGCCACGTCACCGATGGTGACCCTCCTCCCGCTGGAATCAATGGCGTCCATCGCCCGCTTCCGCACATCGGACGGCAATTTATCGCTCTCCACACTGCCGCCGGGCCTAATTGCGGTGGCATCAGCACTACCGCTGCTGCTGCTACTGGAAGCCCTAATTACGGTTTTTCCGCAGCGGAATTTTGTGGATTGGGGGAGAATCAGCGATGGCAGAGAATTCAAATGGTTGAATTCGGAGAATTTAAATGGTTTGCGAGAGATAATTAAGGAGTGGGATTTGGGAGTAAGAGTGAAAAAGTAAGCAGACATCGAAGAAGCCATTTCTGTAGATTCCTTGAGTGGCTGTTACTTGATTCTGCTTAGGTTTTCGGCCATGGGTGAAGATAATTTTCGGAATTGAAGATTGCGAAGTATGTAGATTATATATGTACTGTGGAGAAAGGCATAAAATTGAACGTTAATTTTTTTTTCTTGGCTGGGAAAATGCCAACGTCTGTGAGTGGAAGACTATTGTTGATTGGGGGAAGCGGGAGGATGACGCTTGTGAATTCTCCTTTTTACCCTCACATGTTTATGCAAAAATAGTTGTGGATAGAGGTTGAAATTTTAATATAATTTATTATCTTTTGATAATTTTAAGGGGAAATTCCACTTTTCATTATACTTTGGTTCGCTACTATTTTACCTTTTTCTATTTTTGAATTTCGATTGCATCAATTTGTCACCACGATTATATCTTTGCCACCTTGTACTTAAAAAAAAAAATGTTTCAATGTGGCCCTCATTGTCAGTCGTCGCACTCGCTATTAGTTGTCACACTCGCTATTAGTTGTCGTCGCACTCGCTATTAGTTGTCACACTCGCTATTAGTTGTCAGACATTTAACATTAATACCATCTGATCTAAGCTTTGAAATTACAAAAACGCCACAACTCCTAGTTTAAAAAATAATAAAAAAATAAAATAATAAAAAATTCAAGACAAAAAAAAAAACATAGTCCACAATAATTTTTGAATATTATTTAAATTGAGAGGGGTAGTTTTTTTGTAATTTTCACTTAGGCCCTGTTTGATTACTACTTAATGTCCTCTGAATGAGCAATTCCTTCTTATTCGGTAAGCATGATCTCTTTCAGTGTGTTTGGGTTGAATCTCTGAACTGAATATTTTGCCTCTTATTGGTTCAGCCAAAAATCATTCACTTATTCGGTAAGATGTGTATCTGAATAAGTTTTGGAAAAACATAAACCCTCCACGGCCATCGCATCTCTCTTCTACATAAATTGTGCAAGCCAATAATAAATTATTATTTTGACAAAAATGAATGTGAAATGAATCAATTGACCGAGGGGACAGTGTGTTTGAGTTATTAATATTATATTTGTTGTTCATGCTATTACCATTGTATTTGATATGATAGTACTTATATATACATTTCAATATTTGAATTTTAATTTTTATTTACAATTTTATTTTTTGTCATAATATATTTTTTCTATATGAGATATTCTAATATTTAAATTTATTTATATATACTATTCAAATTTAACTAATAAATATAATTTTACCATTACACAAGTTTATAATAAGAAAATAATATTATTCAGTCATTATTGATATTCAGTTATCAAATGGACTTAATTGTTCAGCATTCAGCATTCAAACACAACTCTTATTAATTCAGATACTTATTCAGCATTCAGCATTCAGTGCTTAATCCCGTCAAACGGAGCCTTAGATTAAATGATAGATCAAATAGTATTAATGTCAAACATCTGAAAATTAACGACTAAGACCATGTTGACACAGAAAATTATAGCCCAAATATAATTATTATACATTAATAATGTCAATAATTGAAATTTCTCTAAAAGAATTGGTCGCCAAGTGCCAGTGAATTATATTGTTCGTTGGGCTGGCCTCTATTGATGGATCTCCCTAAATTGCATTCCAGGCCATATATATATATACAGTGGTTATTTAGAAATTAATCATCCACGTGTACCATTACATTTTAATTCATAATTTTTGGCAAATTAATTAATCTTCCAAAGACGACGTTGAAATTAATGAAAACACAGAAGTTGATTATTCATCATCTTTTATTTCAAAGGAAAATAAACTTACACACGAACATGTGCATGCAGAGATACTTATTACAAAAACAGAGCTTAATTTTTTCACACAGCTCAAGTACGTACTCTCTCTCTCTACTCTCTCAGACCATGCATCTCTCTAGACAAAGAGAACATGGAACTGGCATTGCTGGGGGCTGCGGAAGTTGCACTGTCGGGGGAGAGAGCGGGCCTTCTGGTAAACCTGTTCATACTGTCCGGTTTGGTATTGGCCGCCCTGTTGTTGGATCTCCTTCACTGCTTGCTTGATTGCTTCGCACCTGCATTGCTGGTTCACGTTCTGTAGTTGCTGGCAGCAATCTCTCAGGTACTGTGACTGCTGCTGTGGGTTGCCGGTTGTCATTTCAATAACTTCCTCTTCATCTCCGCCGTATTGGCCCCTCTGGGAGAGGTACCTTTGGCATGACTGGAACCGGCGGCCCTGGATCTGCTGGCGGCACTGTTGCTGCTCGCCTCGGTTGGCCTCGTCGTCGATGGTGGTGGTCGTGACGGTGGTTGTGTAGCTGGTGGCGCTGGCTAGTGTCACCATAGCCACCAGGAGAGCTGCTGCGAGAGCCACCTTAATCGCCATTGAGGGAGAAATTATAATTCTTGGATTGGTAGATGTATGGTGTGAGATATATTGGCGGTGAAGGGGTGGAGGGGGTATTTATAGTGGGATTTGTGTGTTTGCATGGCGTTTACGTGTTGATTGATCTGAGTAAAGTTGGCGAACCGTGGATGAATTTTGCTGGGGTTCTGTGGATTAGCGTTTTCGTGCTTCCACGTCGATTTTACATGCAAATGCTGCCAAATATACAAGATTAAAAAATTTGGTACACGAGATGTCACTTAGCTTGTTGGTACAAGGAATTTGGACTTTTCTTGACCTAATTCTCGAGCTAGAGCTTTCTAATGAGACGAGCTTAATTGAACCACTTTTTAGTTGTTCCGTGTTTGAATTTGAACCAGTTTTTAGTTGTTTCGTGTTTGTGAGCTCACTAGTCGGCTCGCGAGCCTATTAAATATTATTTTTTTAATATATTATTTTTTATTTAAATAATGTATAATAATATAAAATATAATATAAATATTATAATATATATATATATATATATATATATATATATATATATATATATATATATATAATTACAATTTAGTGTTTATATTGTAATTTTTTTAAAATATTTTTAATAATCATTAAAAAATATATATTTAAAAAGAAAAGAAAAACAACAAAATGAGATTGGGCTCGAGCTCGAGCCAAAAAAGAAGGAAACGGACGAGCTCGAGCCTCCCAAAAAAGGCATGCTCGGCTCGTTCACACCCCTACACCATGCACATGAGGGTGAACGGATGCGATGTGGTGAAAAAATCATCACTTTATTATTTTACATAAAAAAAACAAATTTATTTTCCCATATCATTAACTTTCTATGTTTTTTTTTTATAAATATCTTAGTAAACATAAAAAAATATCTAATGAGTTTAATTAATTTTTAATTAACATTAAGGATGTTTCTATAATGTTTTTGAATTATATGATCTAAGAGTAATTAGATATAACCTAGGGGGTGGCAGTTTAATTTATTTAATGTTTGGTCGAAGGATATAATGGAAATCTAGAAGAAGTGAATGATCAAATGAGTGAGTGAAGTGTTAATTAATATCATACCTCAAGAAATGTATTTGAGTAGTTTTCCAATAAGTATAGTTATAATCATTTTCAATTGAGAACTACAACTTCTATAATTTGATGCTTTTGAGACAAATCAGTTGATTTACTCATACAATTAATATTCACTATATAAAAAACAAAAAATTGAGTAACTAACACCAATTTTTAAATGGTTATAATGTAAATATTATTGTCACTATATTTGTTACTAACGATAAATCAGTTTAGTTACCCATATATCTAATATTCACTACAAAAAATATTTTTTTGAGAGACAATTCATCAATTTTTAAAGGGGCTATTTGTCAAAATCCCCTCATTGAATTTCGAATTCATGATAAATCAATATTTTTTTGTTGATATTTCACATTTGTGATAAACAATTGATTTCAAATGCCTATTTAAGATTACTAAAAGTTACCATATATTATTATGGAAAATCAATTTTAAATATTCAAATCCCTCAAATTTCTCACCATCACCTCATTCTAGTTTTTCTTTTTCTTTTTCATTTTTCTTTTTTATGTTTTTAAAAGACTTTCTTTATTTCGAATCAAACAAAAATTGGTTAATTTTTTTTTATTTTCTTTCAGTTTTTTAAAATTTGAAATTTACTACATACTCATCAAAAACCACTGTATAAATTTGTCAAAAATCACTATGAAATTGAAGTAAATATTAATATAAAACTAACGTGATCTACATTAATATTAATGTAATCTACTACAAACTTACCAAAATCTACGTAATGCACTACGAATTAACTCATAAAAAACCACTATAAATTTATCGAAAACCACTATGAAATTGAAGTAAATATTAATATAAAACTAACGTGATCTACATTAATATTACTGTAATCTACTACAAACTTACCAAAATCTACGTAATGCACTACGAATTAACTCATAAAAAACCACTATAAATTTATCGAAAACCACTATGAAATTGAAGTAAATATTAATATAAAACTAACGTGATCTACATTAATATTACTGTAATCTACTACAAACTTACCAAAATCTACGTAATGCACTACGAATTAACTCATAAAAAATCACTATAAATTTATCGAAAACCACTATGAAATTGAAGTAAATAATAATATAAAACTAACATGATCTACATTAATATTAATGTAATCTACTACAAACTTACCGAAATATATGTAATGCACTACAAATTAACGTAATCCACTAAAAACACACAAAAAACAAAATCCACTATTCCCGACCCTATATCGTCTTCCATCTCCCATGGCCACCGACGCCTCCCTTAAATTACAGAAAACAGATAAAACTAACGTAATCTACATTAATATTAATGTAATCTACTACAAACTTACCGAAATCTACGTAATGCACTACGAATTAACTCATCAAAAACTACTATAAATTTATCGAAAACCACTATGAAATTGAAGTAGATAGTAATATAAAACTAACATAATCTACATTAATATTAATGTAATCCACTACAAACTTATCGAAATATACGTAATGCACTATACAAATTAACGTAATCCACAAAAAACACACAAAAAACGAAATCCACTATTCCCGACCCTCTATCGTCTTCCATCTTCCATGGCCACCGGCGCCTCCCTGAAATTACAGAAAATAGAACATCGAAAAAATAAAACCATCTACACACTCGTATATATTGAAAACCACTATATACTCATTCAAAATCACTATTAAATTATCAAAAATCACTATAAAATTAAAGTAATCCACTTTAATATTAATATAATCCGCTACAAACGTATCGAAAAATACTAAAAATGTGCATATTTCCCATTTCTACACCTACATAAAACTAAAAATACCCCTTCATCCAAACATATTCCATTTTTTTACACAAAAACCAATAATCTACTTTTTCCATCATAAATTTTGAAAACTAGAAATTCTCATTGGAAATATAACCAAACATCCCATATATCGTCTTCCATCTCCCATGGCCACCGACGACTCCCTGAAATTACAGAAAACTGAACATCGAAAAAATAAAACCCTCTACACACTCGTAGATATTGAAAACCACCATATACTCGTTCAAAATCACTATTAAATTATCAAAAATCACTATAATATTAACGTAATCCACTTTAATATTAATATAATCCACTACAAACGTATTGAAAAATACTAAAAATGTGCATATTCCACAACGAATTAATATAATCCAGTACTAATTACAAATATAAAATAATTAAGAAAAAAAGGTTAATCCACTCTTTAAATCCACTTTTGGTTCCTAGTTCGCTGAAAATCCGAAAGTTTTTTCTCCCGTTCAGCAATTTCATCAGAAAAATCATCAAACCGACCAATTAATGGAGATATTTAATTGTCTTAAAATATCCAATTAATGCATCTCTTGTACACAAGATATCCCCATTTTTATGATTGAAAAACAGAGAAATAAAACAATCAATAATGGATTATAATACTATGTAAGACAATACAATCATAACTCAATTTACTCAAAAGGATGGGTAGTGATGGTAATATTTTTCTATATGGGAAAATATACCACGACGCCATTAGCAAAGCATCCAGATTAAGTAAGAATCGGAGGAAACAAGGTCAATTTTTTCCTTGTTCTATTTCGATCTTCTATTCATCACTCGAAATTATTGTATTATGTGTATTGTATTACATTCATCCATTCTTATTTAAATTAATTATTGATATTTATTATGTGTATGATTAATTAACATATTTTTTACTTACTCACACAAGAATGCATCTGTTTCGTCGATGAAAAGAAGCAAACCCCTGTTCAATTTCTTAGCCAAATCGAACAATTGGTGTATCTTTGTAACTGTCTGAAAAAATTGACCTTGTTTCTCTCTATTTCCACAACGCACTATAAGGTTGGTCTGAGTCGTCCAAGGCGGCAATTTATCGTTTGGATCTGAGGCGTCCACGGCGGCGGCAATTGCAGTGGGGTTTTTCGAGGTCACTTGCTTCGGCAATGGAGTCGAGGGACTGGAGATGAAGAGAAATTGAAATGACAAAGAGAAAAGAAAAAATAAAGGAGAGGGCGGCGATATCCCGTGATATAGGTTTTGGCAAAGTAAGGGGTATAATTGTATTATGAAAATTCAATATTAAATTTAGACTTATGTTAAATAGGATAAAAAAAATTGATTTATTCAAAGACAACTTGCATATAACGGGGTTTTCCCTAGTAATCCCATTTTTAAATGGTTAGGCAAATATTGTTGTCAATTATCTTCTAGCCAACGGGATGTCACTAATTGTATATAATTTAGGGTAAATTACACCCACCCCCTGAGGTATCATCAAATAACTCACACACCCCTGTCGTTTTAGGAATTACAATAACCCCCTGAAATTGACCGACCGTCAATTATGCTAACAGAATGAAGGAATTTACCGAATTACCCTTCAAATTATAATGTCTGGAAAAAAACGAAAAATGTAAAGAATGGAAAAGTCCACTTTACCCACAAGTTCATTTGCAGATTTCAAAAAACGTTTCACTTCAATTTTTAGGGTTTTTATTTTTATGGAGTTTCCTGCTCCGACAATGGCAGAATCACCAAACTCGACTTAACGAACGCCGCCCTAAAAGGGCGCCTACACATCTCCGATCTGACGGCGGGGCTGACCGGCCTCACCACTCTTCTCCTCGGCGGCAATTTCTTCTCCGGGAATCTTTCATTTACTTCCACCGTCACCTCTTGCAGCCTCGAGTTTCTTGATTTGTCCGTCAATGGCTTCTCCGAGCCCCTCGCGGCGGATTCGCTGCTCGTGTCTTGTAATAAACTTGCTTATCTGAACCTCTCACACAACTCAATCCCGAGTACTACGGCTCTCAAGTTCGGGCCTTCTCTCACTCAACTCGACCTCTCTGCAAACAAGATTTCCGATTTAGGCATATTGACTTCTCTTCTTTCCGATTGCCGGAACTTGAACCTGCTTAATTTCTCGAGCAATAAACTCGCCGGAAAGCTTGAAATCTCTCTCTCCTCTTGCGGAAGTCTCTCTGCTCTCGATCTTTCGAACAACAACTTCACCGGAAATCTCGCGGGTTTCGATTTCGGTGTTTGTGGGAATCTGTCTGTACTTAACCTCTCCCACAATGGTTTCTCTGCTACCGGATTTCCATCCAGCTTAACCAACTGCCAAAGCCTCGAAACTCTCGACGTTAGCCACAACGCTATCCACATCAAGATTCCAGGTATCTTATTAGGAAAGATGACGAGTTTGAGGCAATTGGTTTTGGCACGCAACGAATTCTTCGGCGAGATTCCATCAGAGTTGGGCGGAATTTGTGCGAAACTCGAGAAATTAAACATATTACAATTAGCCCCCTCTGGGGTATATTAGTCTTACAAACATAACTGCCTACTGGGACACGTGTACAGGGGCATATTTGGAATTTGAAAACGAATATTCCATGGAATCTTGTAGATTCCGTTAGTAAGGGGGCCGTAAGGGGGTAACTGTTAGACGGAGCAATACCTCAGGGGGGTTATTGTAATTCCTAAAACGACAGGGGTTTGTGAGTTATTTGATGATACCTCAGGGGGGTGGGTGTAATTTACCCTATAATTTAATAGGGTGTCACTAATTCTTAGAATGACAATAAAAAAGATGAAGTCACGACTCACTATAAAAAGAGTTTTTATTAACAATAAAAGATATGTTATCGCTTAATTTATGCATGCATTGAATAACAACTTTTGATATCATTATAATTGAAGTGTCAATAATGATATTTTGATTGTAGTCTCTTAATTAAATTGCAATCCTGCCATCAATCAATTACTAATGGAGTTGCGGATTTTGTACTGTAGCACTTGGTCTTCTTCTAGGGTTCTAGCGAGAGGTGGAAATCGGACGAAATGGATCGAAAAAAGTTTTTTCGAAAGTAAAAAATGGGTTCCAATTTTTGTTCCAAGAAAATAATTGAGATGAAAAATCTATTCCGATTTCAGAATACCTCAGGATCGGTGGAATTTTGGAAATTACATTAGTTTATAACAGAAATTTTCACAATACCTTTTCTATGTTTTTCGAAGCTTTACATGAAGTTTTGTGTTTTAAAATTTGAGTTAATTGATGCTATATCATATGCTATTCGGTTTTAGAATTTGCCTTAAGACTTAACAAAGTGAAATATTAAATTGTTGAGCAAGTTGGGAAGTGATTTGCGCCATATTTGAACCGTTTGAACCTTTAAAACCTACCTTGCAAGTTGTTTTAGTTTATTTATTGGTTTTTTTTTTAAAAAAAAATAAGAAAAAAAAATGTTTGAGATCAAAAACTTGTTCGGGCTAAATACCTAACACGCAAGTGCACGTATCGCAAACAAGTAGTAAAAGTGGACTCGTGAGAGTCGCATGTCGATCCCACAGGGAATACTCAAATTATCTAGTCCTAAGTACCAAATTCTAACAATTATGATTTTTGTACAGTCTACGCAAAAGTTGTCAAATTTAATCAACTAAATAATTAAACTAATTATGAAAGCAATTAAACACGAGAAAATATCAATAAAAACGGACCTTGGATTTTATCTCCCCCCTATGCAAGAATTGCTCACCCAAAACCCCTCAATTATGAAATATATGATTCATGATTATTAACCCGAGACACTAATTTACTCATAACCCGCTGTCGCGTGTATTATGAGTCTATTATTCATAAACGGTTCACTATATGTCTATGCAAACAAATTATGAATAAAACATTAACTAACAAGTCTCGTAAATGGCTACCTAAGGTGATATCTGTCTGTCTACGACACCACAAGCAATTGACACACTCATCCAGTGAAAACTACTCGAAGGTTCTTATACTTACCGTCTAATTATCAAAATAGCTCTGTCGAGTCAATCCCAATAATCACAGATAAAACACATAAATTGATCAAGTTCATGCACTAACAATCATAACAAGTAGAAGAAATAATCATAAAATCATAATTGCATAATCTCAAGAAAACGGGTTCACCATCCCCACATAGGGTTCCAACAAAATCCTAGATTAAAAACTTAGCTACTCATGTTCTATACGAAAAACATAATAAAATCAGATCGAAAATCGTAGAAGTATTCGGAACTAAAATCAGATCGAAAATCGAAATTTCCGTTAATTTTATATACTATTCCGATTCCATTCCTAATAAATTCAGAAAAATAAAAAATAGGACTTCGAAATTGGAATGAAAAATACAATTCCAAATTCGACTATTATCGAATCGGATTAATTGACGAAATTCAGAAATTTTATTCCAATTTTCACCCCTAGTTCTACCAATATGACATTTTATATAGGTTATCTTAATGGATTGTTATCTTTTTGGCACCAAAAAAGAAATGAATTAACTCGAGAAGAAATTAAATTTGAGGAAACAACTCCGAAAAACACGTTGTTTATTATTCGCCACATACACGAAACACATGTAGTGTACAGATCATCGATAGTACTTATTACAAAAAAAAAAAACAGAGGTTATTAATTCACAACTTTTGATCTAGAGAAAGAGATCACGGAATTGGCATTGTTGGGGGCTGCGGAAGTTGCACTGCCGGGGAAGATAACGGGCCCTCTCGTAAACCTGTTGCAACTCTCCGGTCTGCCATTGGCCGCCCTCTTGTTGGACCTCCTCCGCGGCTAGCTTGATTGCTTCGCACCGGCATTGTTGCTTCACGTAATGTAATTGCTGGCAGCAGCTTCTCAGGTCCTGTGACCGTTCCTTTGGGTTGCCGGTCGTCGTCATTTCAACAACTTCCTCTTCATCTCCGCCGTATTGGCTCCTCTGTGAGAGGTACCTTTGGCATGACAGGTACAGGCGGCCCTGGACATGCTGGCGGCATTCCTGCTGCTCCCCTCGGGTGGCCTCGTCGTCGATTGTGGTGGTGGTGACGGTGGTGGTGTAGCTGGTGGCGCTGGTTAGTGTCACCAGAGCCACAAGGAGAGCTGCTGCAAGGGTTGCCTTGTTAGCCATAGTTAGTTTCTTTGAGTATATATATATATATATAATTGCTTAGCTGAATATATGAATGGTGTGAGATATGGTGAAAGGATGGAGGGGGTATTTATAGTGAGATTTGTGGGTTTGCATGGCGTTTACGTGTTGATTCATGTGACTAAAGTTGGTGAACCGTGTGGCTATTTTATGGGGATTAGCATTTTCAAGCTTCCACATTGATTTTACATGCAAATGCTTTTGCCAAAAAACAAGAAATTTATTATATAAAAATAAATAATAAATAAATATATTTTGTTTTGGGACTTCGTGAAAATTTATGTCACAAGTTGGTAATATGATGGTTATTTCTATGCTACACCCGGTGAAGGTTACACTAGGTAATTTTTTGGAGTTGATCTACACACACCAGTGTAGGTGTGTGTGTGTTTGTGTGTATATGAATGATAAAGATCTACTCAGTGTATTTCACCCGGTGTAGTATAGTAAAAGCCGTAAAAGAATTTTGGATTTTTCTTTATCTAATTTACTTTATTGAACTCAATGATCGACGAGTTTAATTGTCATCCAAATTCAAAGAGCCAACCTTAAAATGCAATTAATTTTGAAGGAGTCTGAATATATTCAAGGAAATATAAAAAAATTCCAATTTCCAATTAATTCATTTTTTTATAATTCAAATTTGGCTATGTAACATAGACACACTCAATACGAAAAAAAGGGAAACGACATGTTCAAAAAATAGGGATACGAAAACTTGGAAAAAAGGTATAAATACTAAAAGTAGAGGGGCATATTTATAAAGGACAATGCTAAATGGCCAGAATCTGGCTGGCCAGAATCTAATTTTTTATTATTTTTTAATATTTTTAATTTTTTATTTGAATTTTATTCCATTTATACCCTTTAATGGTGTTGGTTCCAAATTTAATGGCTCATCCGAGTTTCGGGGGCACGATACCATTTCGCGGGGGGCGGATCCAGTCCAGGGCGGGTCTTCATGGGTTCGGTCAGGGTAAGGGGCGGACTTTTAATTCGAAAAATGTTGTGGTTGGGGGTCGAACTTAGGTTGCTCGAAAAAACATATTAAACCCAGGGTAAGAGGCAGATCTATCTTTTTTTATTTTCCTAGCACGAAACGTTAATATAAAGTCAAATGATTATAATAAATAATGTTAAATAGATTGTTAATTAGCATATTCATTATTATTAAATAATGTTTACTAAATTATTATTAATTTTTTTCTTACAATATTTTGTATTTAATGTACTGATTTATTCCTAAATAAAAATGGTTTGTTGGTTTGTTATATCATCTTTTATTTCATATTTTATATTTTAAATATATTTTATATTGTTCGAGTAAGAATAAACTTGAACCTCTGATTTTTGAGCAAATTATCATTAGTTCCATATTGTGTTGTTGTGAAAAGACATTTGTATAATAATATTTTTGACATATGGTATGTGGTTCCGTATTATATTTTGTTTTGCTATTATAATTGCAGTTTGTATGTTGCTAATTGTATTTTGCAATTTGTTGTTGTAACTTGACACAACTTAGAGTGAGAGAGCCATAAGGCTACTAAAATGGAAAAGAAAAAAAGAAAAGAAAAGGAGAGAGAGAGACGTGATTGAGAGGAGAGAGGAGTTAAAGGAGAGGGAAAAGAAATGAGAGATACCTGAGGCATAGGAGAGAGAAGTTAAAGGGAGAGTGAAATATGAGATTTTATTCATATTTTCCATAACTAAATATCTCAATATAAATAATAATTAAGGGTATTCATTAGCAATAAACCCCTCATATAGTTAATAAATTGTGATATGTCCACCCATTAAATCTTTCTTTGTGATAAACCCCTAGAAATTGTATTTCCAATTCCACCCTTATATCAAGTAGCATAATTTCACCCAATTATTCATTTTTTCTCTCTCTCTTTCCATAATAATAATTTAATTCCTAAAAATATGTTTCCAAATTCCTAAAAATTGCTACCACATTAAAAAAAATGATTTTTATTTTTATTTTTTATTATTTATTATTTTCGAATTTTATTTAGTCATTTTTTATTATTTTTATTTTTTTTTAATATTTTTTTAATAAAAATATTTTTTTTAATTTTTTTTAAACAAAAAATTGATTTTTTTTGGAAAGTTTACAACGCCGAATATGACTATAGTTGAATATGACTATATGTGACTATCAATTGTAGTCATATTAATTCTTTATATTGCACTTTTTTTACATTTTTTGCTTCAAAATTCCGATTATATAGTGTTGTACAGTCATGTTTACCAAATTATATAAAACAACTAAGATTCCCTATTGTTTAGGGAAACAATACAATCAACATCCACACAAAAAATCACAAAAGAATCACAATTTGAATCTTGTTATTTCAAGTCAACTTGAAACGAGAAGATATAACATATTCGAATATGACTACAATCATATTCAACAATAGTCGTATTCAAAAATGACTACAGTCATATTCGAAAAAAATACATAAATATGACTATAGTCATATTTGAATATGACTATAGTCATGTTGCTGCTACTGTACAGATCTGAAATTATATTTTCAGATCTGGAGGAAAAAAGAAAAAGAGAGAGAGAAATCGAAAGTACATAAAAAAAGGGAGAAAATTAACGAACAAGATGGAGGGGGAGTACACTTCAATTCATCTAACTAAATACATAAATATGACTATAGTCATATTCAAATATGACTATAGTCATGTTGCTGCTACTGTACAGATCTGAAATTATATTTTCAGATCTGGAGGAAAAGAGAGAGAGAGAGAGAGAGAGAGAGAGAGAGAGAGAGAGAGAGAGAGAGAGAGAGAGAGAGAGAGAGAAATCGAAAGTACATAAATAAATGGAGAAAATTAACGAACAAGATGGAGGGGGAGTACGCTTCAATTCATCTAACTAAATACATAAATATGACTATAGTCATGTTGCTGCTACTGTACATATCTGAAATTATATTTTCAGATCTGGAGGAAAAAAAAAGAAAAAAAAAGAGAGAGAGAGAAATCGAAAGTACATAAATAAAGGGAGAAATTTAACGAACAGGATGGAGGGGGAGTGCGCTTCATTTCATCTAACTAAATACGTAAATATGACTATAGTCATATTTGAATATGACTATAGTCATGTTGCTGCTACTGTTGCTGCTACTGTACATATCTGAAATTGTATTTCCAGATCTGTAGAAAAAACCCAGAAAAAAAACAGAGAGAGAGATAGAGAGAGAGAGGGGGAGAGAGAAATCGAAAAATACATAAATAAAGGTAGAAAATTAACGGAGGCTGTAAACGGAGGCTGACCTGCCGAAAAAAAATTAAAAACAAAAAGTCAACGCCGGTGGCTGACCTACTGGAATTTTTTTTCTTCAGAAAAAACTAAAAAAATACTAATAAAAATAAGTCTGAAACCGGTGGTCAACAGCAACTGACCGACGTTGATAGTCAAAATTGAAATAAAGATCAAAATTAACTAATTGATAAAATTGAGCGAAATTGAAGTTTAAATCATGAAATTGGAGTTTAAAATTTTTGGAACACTTACCCTAAAATTCAATAAAAGTAAATTATTAGATCAAGAAATGTCCAAATCCTACACCAACTTGTGAAATTCTCACGGAATCCCAAAACCATATTTTTTTTTAATCTGAATATTTGGCAGCATATGCATGCAAAATCGATGTGGAAGCTCGAAACCGCAAATCTTTACACCTCCAGCAAAATGCATACACGGTTACTCCAATGAATCAACACGTAAACGCCATGCATCCCCACAAATCCCACCATAAATACCCCCTCCACCCCTTCACCATTCTCACACCAAAACAATTTCATCTTTACTAAATCATATATATCCCATTTCAAGAATCTCTCTCAAGAAACTAACAATGGCGATTAAGGTGGTTCTCACAGCAGCTCTCCTGGTGGCTCTGGTGACCCTAGCCAGCGCCACCAGCTACACCACCACCGTCACCACCACAACCATCGACGACGAGGCCAACCGAGGCGAGCAGCAACAGTGCCGCCAGCAGATCCAGGGCCGCCGGTTCCAGTCATGCCAAAGGTACCTCTCCCAAAGGGGCCAATACGAGGAAGAGGAGGCTATTGAAATGACAACCGGCAACCCACAACAACAATCACAGTACCTGAGAGACTGCTGCCAGCAACTACAGAACGTGAACCAGCAATGCAGGTGCGAAGCAATCAAGCAAGCGGTGAAGGAGATCCAACAACAGGGCGGCCAATACCAAACCGGACAGTCTGAACAGGTTTACCAGAAGGCACGCTCTCTTCCCCGACAGTGCAACTTCCGCAGCCCCCAGCAATGCCAGTTCCATGTTCTCTTTCTCTAGATCATTATCAAAGAGTACCGATGTCCGTCCGAGGAGCTATGTAAATATGTTTTTCGAATAAATGGGTTGAGTACTTTTGTGTTTTTTGTGACAAGTGATGAATGTACACATGGTCTTGTGTGTGTATTTCCTCTGTAATAAAAGAAGTGACGGAACCTGTTTTCTTTGCATTTATTTTATCAGCTCTTCCTCTTATTATTTCGATTTCAAACCAAGTACTTCACCATCTCAACTTCCTTTGCCTTGAAACGCCCCGGCTTAATCAGCAGCGGATCGCACCCTCTTCGTTTAGTTTATTTTCTCTACTTTGTATTCTCCGCGCTACTACTGCCGAGTGTCTGCCTTGTCTCTCTGGAAATTGCCGTTGATCTGGAAATTTCATCAATGTATGAAGGTAAACAGCAGCATTTGGTTATACACTTGTACACGGTTCGACCATCACATTCAATTTACCATGATAGATCAATACTGTTTTGTAACCGAAAAATAAGTACAATTTCCGAAGAAATTTGTTTATTCGTCTCTCTTTTATTTCTTCCAAGGGAAATAAACACACATACTGGACCATGTACTTGTAGATTTGTGTCCTTCGGTTAGCTAGCTAGTGGTGCTGCTGCTGAAATCGCAAATGCTGCTACGAACGCCCTTTTTCATATCTCCGATTTCGTCCACAAAACTACTCTTTTCATCTAACCAAGACAACCTTTAGATTTAGCAAGGCCATCCATGAACATATTGTAAGTTGCAATATCAGGTACAAACCCTCTATCCAACATCTCATCCACCACGGCTTCCCCTTCCTTTCGTCTCCCTTCTCTCGTATACCCCGAGATCAAGATTCTGTACATCACACCATCTGTAACCAAACCCTTTTTCGAAGCCACCAGCCTCATCTTATCCGCCTCCACCGCTCCTCCACCGCCACACATATCATCCAGCAAACAACTAAAAGTCACACTATCCGGTACAATTCCCTCATCGAGCATTCTCCTCATCAAACCAACCGACTTTTCAATCCTTCGACTTCTAAGTAAACCTTCAATCAGAGTCGTGCAAGAAATCAAACTCGGTTTGTATCCTTTCCCCCAAAGCTCATCCATCAATTCGAGAGCCCTATCTGCCTTCCCTTCGATACAGAGCATCTCAATTAAAACGAAATAATCGAACACCTTGGGCAAAACCCCTCTCCTTAGAAACTCAATCATCAAATCAGCTGCCTCGATTATCTTCCCTTTTCTACCGAGCCCATTCACCAAGATCTCACATGTAACAGACGAGAATTCGCACCCTAACTCTGTCATCTCGTGCGCCATTTCAACTGCTTGCTGTACTTTTCCACCCTGAAAGAATCCCTTGATCAATGTGTTGAAGCTGATTACATTTGGTACACATCCTTTCTCTTTCATCTCTTTGAAAACTTCCAATGCCAGCTCGAATTTCTTGTTCCGACAATGCCCGCTGATCAAGATATTGAACGTGACTGCATCCGGCTTCACTCTGTCATTGAGCATCCTCTTGTAAAAGTTGAAACCTTTATCCAATTTCCCGATCTTGACATAACCGTGGATCACGATATTGTACAATGCGACATTCGGTTTGCCGTCGATTAGTCGCGTCATAATATCGAACGCGTGGTGTGCATTGTCGAATCTACCGGACCTGCAGAACGAGCCAATGGAGGCACGGAAAATGGGTTCGATTCTAGGGCAAGAGAAGATGCCATCGGAGCAGGGGCAAGCGTTGGAGGATACGAATTCGAGGAGCGATGGGAGGGAATCGAGGCGGTTGGTGGATATGAGAGACCGCGCCATGTACTCGAATGTGGTGTGGTCGTGGCGGAAGGAGTCGAGCGCGGCGGCGTAGCGGAAGAGATGGAAGTCGAGGTGGCTGAGGGTGGGGTGGTGGCGGAGGCGGGATTTGAAGAAGTGGAGGAGTTCTTTGGGTGTGATGGCGACGATGCCGTTCTTGAGGAAGGATCTGAGGAGGGTGTTGAGCTGAGTTATGTGGGTTTGGGCGGCGGCGGCGGTGGTGATGGGAGTTAGAGCGGAGAGAGATGACGAGATGTCCGGGAGATGGGGCGACGGCAGCGGTGTCCGGTGGTGGTGCCGGATTTCTGAGAGACTTCTCACGGCTACATTTCTACTAGACATTCCGATGTTGTAAATTGGTTGCTCCGTCGTCTTCTCGGCGGCGATTTTCCCCCAATTTGAGGTGAAGAAGGTAAAATGATAAACCACGTTTTTCTATTTCTTTTTGAGATATTAATAATAATAACTAATTGACCTAAAAATCAATTCTTTACTAAACACGATTCTTTCCATATATATTTTAACCTGTTAACTACCATCTGTAAATAAAACCCAATTAAAAATTTCAGCCACTCTCCATCTCATCGATCTCCGTACGTCGATTCCCGCCGGTAACCGGGCAACAACGAATCATCCCGTCGGCTAGGTACATTTTCTTGAGAACATATCGAAATTAATGCTGTTAAAATTATTTGGGTGATTCTATTGGTTGTTAATTTCATCGAAGAAACTTTACTGAAGCTTATTTGTGCCATGCCCGCCACCTGTTTGATAATATGTCGCTTTCTATTATATATAGGTGAACAATCCCCAATCATTTCTTTATTATTATTATTATTATTATTATTATGAGGAGCATTCACAACGTTCAAGCAAATTCGATCTGGAAGGATTTTACTGATCTTTCAACCATTTATGCTCCTCGGGGCAAGCCAACGTTAGTGCATGCTGCGCCTCGGCCAGTTTCCGGTATACCTTTATTTCTTCCGGTTTCATACCCTTTTAGCCGGTTAATACTTATGCTTGAGGAAATCGGGATGTTAGAATAATCGGAATGTTTAATTTCTTTTCTTCAGGAACTCGAAGGCTATCGATACAATGTGAGGTTAAGTTTCGTCCTTGCATCGACATACACAAGGTTCGATGCAGTATCTTGTTTATTTATTCCCTTAACTGTTAATGTGAGTAACTGAGGTCCAGTCGGGTTTGTGGAATAGTGATTCTAGTTCCTCTAGGTGGAAGTACGGTTATTCTAAAGATATAACTTCAACCATGGATGATTGACAACAAGACCGTTTTTAATAAATTTCAGGGGAAAGTGAAACAGATTGTTGGATCCACTCTTCAAGATTCTAAAGAGGGAGTTTCAAGTCTTATCACTAATTACGAATCTGATAAATCGGCTGCTGAATATGCGAAAATGTACAAGGAAGATGAGCTTACTGGTGGCCATGTAATAATGCTCGGAGCGGATCCATTGAGCAAAGCAGCAGCGATCGAAGCATTACATGAGTTTCCTGGTAGGCATGATTTACTCTATCGTTTGAAGCGTTAATCTATTGTATTATGTTGTATCTTTCTAGAGGCATATATTTGTGTGTAAATATATATATATATATATATATATATATATATATAATTTATATAAACGTTACAGAAATAAAAATATACATAGATATACATCTTTTGTTTGTCAATACCTAACCCACATATAAACATTATCTTTGTTTACAAAGAGTACAACTAAAATATCTCTATCTTACTAAAAAAATTATACTGAGACTCATACTTTAACGACATGAAACTGAAATGTCTGAGACGCAAGCATATATATATATCCCCACCCCCCACACAGATATTGATATCAATATTTATCTATATCTATATCACACATACACTTTTAGTGTTCAAGACAGAAAGAGAGTGACTGCCTGATATTGAAAACACAACCACATAAAAAAAATACCTACACCAACCTCTAGATACACAAACTCTTTTTCTCGAAGTCACACACATATGTAAGCAAAACACTTTTTTCGAGACAGAAAATCTGTA